ACACAGCGGTGCTGGGAAAGGGACAGAGGGGACAGAGAGGACACAGAGGTGGCTGGGAGGGGACAGAGGGGACAGAGGCGTGTCCAGAGAGGACACAGCCATGTCGGGAGGGGACAGAGGGGACACAGAGGTGGCCATGAGGGACAGAGGGGACACAGGTGTGTCCAGAGGGGACACAGCCATGTCCGGAGGGGACACAGGGGACACAGCCATGTCCGGAGGGGACACAGGGGACACAGAGGGTGTCGGGAGGGGACAGAGGGGACACAGCCGTGTCCAAAGGGACACAGGGGACGAGGGACACAGAGGTGGCCATGAGGGGACACAGGGGACACAGGCGTGTCCGGAGGGGACACAGCGATGCCATGAGGGGACACAGGCGTGTCCGGAGGGGACAGAGGGGACACAGCCATGTCCGGAGGGGACACAGGTGTGTCCGGAGGGGACAGGGGTGTGTCCGGAGGGGGACACAGGTGTGTCCGGAGGGGACAGAGGGGACAGAGGTGTGTCCGGAGGGGACACAGGTGTGTCCGGAGGGGACACAGGGGACACAGGTGTGTCCAGAGGGGACACAGGGGACACGGGTGTGTCCGGAGGGGACACAGGTGTGCGGGCGTGGCGCAGGCGGGGCCCGCGTGCCGCGTGGCGCAGAGCCTGGCCCAATACTGCGTGGGCGCCAACTACGCCTGGGCCACGGCCGAGGGGCTGTTCCTGCTGCGGCTGCTGCTGGCCACACCTGCGCGGAGCCACCTGCCCGCCTTCCTGCTCCTCGGATGGGGTGAGACACCTGTGTCACTGTCACCTGTGTCACTGTCACCTGTGTCACTGTGTTATTGTGTTACCTGTGTTACCTGTGTTACCTGTGTGTGCCACCTCCTGCTGGCCACACCTGCGCGGAGCCACCTGCCCGCCTTCCTGCTCCTCGGATGGGGTGAGACACCTGTGTCACCTGTGTGTCACCTGTGTGTGTGCCACCGTCACTGTGTCACTGTGTTATCGTGTTATTGTGTCACCTGTGTCACCTGTGTGTGCCACCTCCTGCTGGCCACACCTGCCCGGAGCCACCTGCCCGCCTTCCTGCTCCTCGGATGGGGTGAGACACCTGTCACCTGTCACCTGTGTGTGTCACTGTGTCACTGTGTTATCGTGTTACCTGTGTTACCTGTGTGTGCCACCTCCTGCTGGCCACACCCGCCCGGAGCCACCTGCCCGCCTTCCTGCTCCTCGGATGGGGTGAGACACCTGTCACCTGTCACCTGTGTCACTGTCACCTGTGTGTGTCACTGCATTACCATGTTATTGTGTTACCTGTGTCACCTGTGTGTGCCACCTCCTGCTGGCCACACCTGCCCGGAGCCACCTGCCCGCCTTCCTGCTCCTCGGATGGGGTGAGACACCTGTGTCACTGTCACCTGTGTGTGTCACTGTGTCACTGTGTTATTGTGTCACCTGTGTCACCTGTGTGTGCCTCCTCCTGCTGGCCACACCTGCGCGGAGCCACCTGCCCGCCTTCCTGCTCCTCGGATGGGGTGAGACACCTGTGTCACCTGTGTGTCACCTGTGTGTCACCTGTGTCACCTGTGTGTGTGCCACCGTCACTGTGTTATCGTGTTACCTGTGTCACCTGTGTGTGCCACCTCCTGCTGGCCACACCTGCCCGGAGCCACCTGCCTGCCTTCCTGCTCCTCGGATGGGGTGAGACACCTGTGTGTCACCTGTGTGTCACCTGTGTGTCACCTGTGTCTCACCTATGTGTCACCTGTGTGTGTGCCAGCGTCACTGTGTTATCATGTTACCTGTGTCACCTGTGTTACCTGTGTGTCACCTGTCACCTCTGTGTGTCGCTGTGTTACCGTGTTATCATGTCACCTGTGTCACCTGTGTGTCACCTGTGTCACCTCCTACGCCTTTGTGCCCCCCCCGCCCTCTCCCCAGGTGTGTCCCCCTCCCCAGGTGTGTCCCCCCCCCTCCCCAGGTGTGTCCCCCCCCTCCCCAGGTGTGTCCCCCCCTCCCCAGGTGTGTCCCCCCCCTCCCCAGGTGTGTCCCCCCCTCACCAGGTGTGTCCCCCCCTCACCAGGTGTGTCCCCCCTCAGGTGTCCCCGTGCTCTTCGTGGTGCCCTGGGTCGTCCTGCGTTACCTGTACGAGAACGAGGGGTGAGGCCACCACCTGTCCCGTCCCCACCCCCCTCCCAGGTGGCACGGGGGCGTGGCTAACCGAGGCCACGCCCCCCACGCAGGTGCTGGGAGCGCAATGAGAAGGCGGCCGTGTGGTGGCTGATCCGCTGCCCCATCCTGGCGGCCGTGGCGGTGCGTGACGTCACCCCAGGTGCGCCACACCTGTCCAGGTCACACCTGGGCGTGCCGCAGTCACACCCGCGTGTGTCGCACCTGCGCCAGGTGAACTTCGTGGTGTTCGTGCGCATCGTGCGGATCCTGGTGGCCAAGGTGCGCGCGCAGCAGGTGGCGCGCGGGGACACGCGGCTCAGGTGGGGACGCGCCTGGAATGGGGTGGGGACGCACACCTGGGCAGGTGGGGACGCACACCTGGGCAGGTGGGGACACACACCTGGTGAGGGTGGGGGACACCGGGTCCCTGAATCTCTCCCTGGGTGTGTCCCCATGCCCGGGGACGTCTCCACGCGTGTCACCTGTGTCACCTGTGTCACCTGTGCCACCTGTCCCACCTGTGCCCAGGCTGGCGCGCTCCACGCTGACCCTGATCCCCCTGCTGGGCGTGCACGAGGTGATTTTCGCCCTGGCCGGGGAGGGCGAGGGGGGCGGCGGCCTCAGGCTGGCCCGGCTGTGCCTGCACCTGCTGCTCACCTCGGCCCAGGTGAGCGACGCACCTGGGACACACCTGGGACACACCTGGGGGGGTTAATGAGGCGTTAATTGGGGTTAATTGGGGTTAATTGGGGTTAATTGGGGAGGGTGAGGCTGGCCCGGCTGTGCCTGCACCTGCTGCTCACCTCGGCCCAGGTGAGCCGCGCACCTGGGGACACCTGGGACACACCTGGGACACACCTGGGGGGTTAATGAGGCGTTAATTGGGGTTTATTTGGGTTAATTGGGGAGGGTGAGGCTGGCCCGGCTGTGCCTGCACCTGCTGCTCACCTCGGCCCAGGTGAGCCACACACCTGGGACACACCTGGGACACACCTGGGACACACCTGGGGGGTTAATGAGGCGTTAATTTGGGTTAATTGGGGTTAATTGGGGAGGGTGAGGCTGCACCTCCTGCTCACCTCGGCCCAGGTGAGCCACACACCTGGGACACACCTGGGACACACCTGGGACACACCTGGGGACATTGGGGACAGCGGGAAATGGGGGGTTAGTGGCGTTAATTTGGGTTAATTTGGGGTTAATTTGGGGTTAATTTGGGTTAGTTGGGGTTAATTTGGGGTTAATTCAGTTAATTCGGGTTAATTTGGGTTAATTGGGGTTAATTCAGGTTAATTTGGGTAATTCGGGTTAATTTGGGGTTAATTAGTTAATTGAGGTTAATTTTGTTTAATTTGGTTTAATTTGGGTTATTTTCGGTTAATTTGCATGAATTTGGGTTAATTTGTTTTAATTGGGGTTAATTGGAAGTGCCAGACCCCCCCAAAGTGTCCCCATGTCCCCCCCCTCCCCCGATCAGGGCCTGGTGGTCAGCGTCCTCTACTGCTTCACCAACAAGGAGGTGCGTCATGTCGCGACACGGGCGGCGCCTATCGCGGCATGGGCGGGGCCTATCGCCACGGGCGGGGCCGCGTATCGCGACATGCCGCCCCCGCAGGTGCAGGCCGAGGTGCGGCGGGGGTGGCAGCGCTGCCGGATGGGGATCCCCGGAAGCCGCAGGGCCCCCCCGAGGCGTCAATCGCGACAGGGGCAGCGCCCGGTGGCCGAGAGCGGCTGCTGAGGGGGCGGGGCGCACCTGGGGGCGCACCTGGGGGGGCAATTATGGGCCTGGGGGGGCAGCTGAGGGGCTGGGGGGCACCTGTGAGGCACCTGTGGGTGCTGGGGGGGGCGAACCCCAAGAGTTTTGGGTGCTGGGTCAATTTGGGGCGAAATCCGGGGATTTTGGGGATTTTGGGAAGGGGGGGGACACCTTGGGGGGGACACACGGGGGACGGAGGGGGGGGGACCCCGGGGTTTGTACCCCAAAATAAACCGACCACGTGACACCCAGGGGTGCCGCCCAGTCATTTTAGGGGGGCGTGGGGGGGCGGGAACTACAACTCCCAGCACGCCCCGCGCCGCGAAAAGAACTACAGCTCCCGTGATGCCCCGCGGCACGGAGAAAGCGGGAACTACATTTCCCGTGATGCCCCGCGCAGCCGCAGGCGCGCAGCGCGGCGGGCCCCGGGCGCATGCGCGGCGCGGCACCCCGGAAGCGGCCGGAGAGGCGGAGCGGCCGCGCCCGGCACGGCCCGGTGAGCGGGGGAGGGGCGGCGGCACCGGGTGGGGCCCGGTCAGAACGGGAGGGGTCGCGGGATGCCCCGGGGAGCGGCCTGGGCCTGCGGGTGGGTGGCTGGGAGCGCCCACGGGGCCTAACGGAGGGCACGGCGGGGGATCCCGGTGCGACACCGAGCACCGGCGCCGCTCGCCCGACGGGCGGGTGGGTCCGGTGGGGCCCCCAGACCCCGTTACCGCGTCCTGCCCGCCGGACACCGGCGCCGGTTCCCCCCCTCCCCCGGTTCCTCCCCCCCCCACGGGGCCCACACGGGACCGGGGGCCCGCCTGACCACGCCCCCTCACCGAGGCCACGCCCCCTCCGCGCCGCGCGCGCCGCCGTCCATATATGGGCACGGCCCGAACGCCGCGCGCTGATTGGCCGGGGAGGGGGAGCGGGGCGGGTCGTTAAACGGGCGGGGCGGGGCGTGGCCTCCGCGGGAGGGGCGGGGCGTGAGGAGGGGCGGGGCGCCGCGGGAGGGGCGGGGCTTGCGGCGCGGGAAGGTGGGGGGGGGGCGCGGCCCCGCGATGTCCCCGAGGGTCCCCCCGGTGTCCCCAAGCGCCCTCCTGGTGTCCCCAAAAGTCCCTCTGGTGTCCCTAAGGCTCCCCCCCGGTGTCCCCAGGTGCCCCTTGGTGTCCCCAGGCACCCCCTCAATGTCCCCAAGGGTCCCCCCCTCGTCACCTGCCGTCTCTCCGCAGGCCCGGGCGGCCCCGGCGGCCCCGGTGGCAGCGGCGGCGGCGGCGGCGGCGGCGGCGCTGATGGAGCCCCCCAACGCCTTCCCGCAGCTGCAGCTCTGGTGCCCGCGGCCCTTCGGCACCTTCTCGCAGAACAAGCCATGCTCCTCGCCCGCTGCCACCACCGCTGCCACCCCCGGTGCCCCCCGGTGCCCCCCGGGCTGCCGCCCCTCCGAGAACACCCCCCCGGAACCGCCCGAGCCCGGCCCCGCCGGCACCGCCACCGCCGCCGAGGACGGGCGGGTGCTGCTGGACACTTGGTACGTCATCAAACCGGGCAACACCAAGGAGAAGGTGGCGTTCTTCGTGGCGCACCAGTGCGGCGGCACCGCCGGCGGCACCGCCGGCACCGCTGGCCGTGCCAGCACCATGAAAGTCAAGGGCAACTGGGGCAGCGACAGCTCCAAGGCCAAGCGGCGCCGGCGCTGCCACCACGAACCCAAAACTGCTCCAAACCCGCCCTGGGCGGCCGGGGACGCCCCGAAGGGTGACGGCGGCGGCGGCGGGGACGGCCCGGACCTGCTGTCGGTGGCGGAGATGGTGGCGCTGGTGGAGCGGCGGGCGGCGCTGGCCCTGCAGAGCCTGCCCCGCTCGCCCTGCGACGCCCCGGCCCCGCTGGTGCTGCTGGAGGCGCCGGGCGGCCCCGAGTGCCGGCGCGTGGCGGCCGCCGTGGCGCAGTTTGAGTCCCAGAAATCCCAGAACCACCAGCACAGGGAGCGCGGCGGGGCCAGGCCCAACGGGGTTTGCCGCGCCGGTGCCGGCGGCGGCAGCGCCGGGATAGAGGGGCCCGGCAATGCCACCACCACCACCACGGGCACGGCGGCGGGGCCGGGCGAGGTGAGGATCGCCTTCCGCATCTCGAGCGGGCGCGAGGCCGCGGCGGCCGCCAGCGCGGAGCGGCAGAAGGACCAGATCACCTGCGACCTGTACCGGCTGGTGAGCCCGGCGCGGCTGCTGCTGGCCGCCAAGGGGGACAAGGACGGCGCGGGCGACGAGGCGGCTGCGGCAGCGGAACAGGGCGGCGGCACCGGCGGCACCGAGGGTCCGGCGGCGGCGGCGCCGCGGGACTGCGTGTCCGGCTTCCACGTGGACGTGGTGGTGACGGGCGTGGTGGACCAGTGCGTGTTCTTCGGCAAGGACAGCGCCAAGCAGGTGACCGAGGAGACCGTGCGGCTGCCCGAGGAGCCGCCGCCGCCGGGACAGCTCTTCCTGCTGCCCGAGGAAACGGCGGCGGCCGCCACCACGGCCACGGCGGCGGCGGCGCCGGGCAAGGACGGCAGCGGCGGCGGCGGGGACCCGGCGCTGTGCCGGCTGTACCGGCACGTGTCGCACGATTTCCTGGAGATCCGCTTCAAGATCCAGCGTCTGCTGGAGCCCCGGCAGTACATGCTGCTGCTCCCCGAGCACGTCATGGTGAAGATCTTCAGCTACCTGCCCACGCAGGCGCTGGCCGCCCTCAAGTGCTCGTGCCACTACTTCAAGTCCATCATCGAGACCTTCGGGGTGCGGGCGGCGGACTCGCGGTGGAACCGGGACCCGCTCTACCGGGACGACCCCTGCAAGCAGTGCAAGAAGCGCTACGAGCGGGGGGACGTGTCGCTGTGCCGCTGGCACCCCAAGCCCTACCACCACGACCTGCCCTACGGGCGCTCGTACTGGATGTGCTGCCGCCGCACCGACCGCGAGGCGCCCGGCTGCCGCACCGGGCTGCACGACAACAACTGGGTGCACCCGGCCGGCGGCCGCAGGGACGAGGGCAGGTGAGGGTGGGACGGACGGACGGACGGACGGGCGGGACGGACAGAGCGGCGCCGCGGATGCGGACGGGATAAAATAACACCGAGAGAGGAACGGAAAGGGTCGAGCGTGGAAGCGTGGAAGGAGGGGATTGAGGGTGGTGGTGGCAGCGCCGGATGGGTTGGTGGCACCCAAGGGGGTGACAGCGTCCTCCAGGGTGGCGTCCCCATGGGATTAACCCGATGGCAATGTCCCCAAGAAGGTGACATTGCCGTGCAGGACGGTGTCACCGTGGAGGAGAATGGGTACAAGCAGTGGTGGTGTCCCTCAGAGGGTGACAATGGGTGGTGTCCCCACGTGGAACAGAGGGTGACAATGCCCTCCAGGTGGGACAGAGGGTGACAATGCCCTCCAGGGTGGTGTCCCCAGGTGGGACAATGGGTACAAGCAGTGGTGGTGTCCCCAGGTGGAACAGAGGGTGACAATGCCCTCCAGGACAGTGTCCCCATGGAGAACAATGGGTACAACCTGTGGTGATGTCCCTCAGAGGGTGACAGTGCCCTCCAGGGTGGCGTCCCCATGGGATTAACCCGATGGCAATGTCCCCAAGAAGGTGACATTGCCATGCAGGACGGTGTCACCAGGTGGGGCAATGGGTACAAGCAGTGGTGGTGTCCCTCAGAGGGTGACAATGCCCTCCAGGGTGGCGTCCCCATGGGATTAACCCGATGGCAATGTCCCCAAGAAGGTGACACTGCCATGCAGGACGGTGTCACCATGGAGGAGAATGGGATCAGCTGGTGGTGGCGTCCCCAGATGGGACAGAGGGTGACAATGCCCTCCAGGTGGGACAGAGGGTGACAATGCCCTCCAGGGTGGTGTCCCCATGGAGAACAATGACATTACCCCAATGGCGCTGTCCCCAGGTGGGACAGAGGGTGACAATGCCCTCCAGGGTGGTGTCCCCATCAAGGACAATGGGTACAAGCAGTGGTGATGTCCCTCAGAGGGTGACAATGCCCTCCAGGGTGGCGTCGCCATGGGATTAACCCAATGGCAATGTCCCCAGCTGGGTTGGTGGCACCCAAGGGGGTGACAGCGTCCTCCAGGGTGGTGTCCCCAGATGGGACAGAGGGTGACAATGCCCCCCATGGAGAACAATGGGTACAAGCAGTGGTGGTGTCCCTCAGAGGGTGACAGTGCCCCCCAGGGTGGTGTCCCCAGATGGGACAGAGGGTGACAATGCCCTCCAGGTGGGACAGAGGGTGACAATGCCCTCCAGGGCGGTGTCCCCATCAAGGACAATGACATTACCCCAATGGCGCTGTCCCCAGCCGCGCTGGTGGCACCAGGGAGGGTGACAGTCCCCTCCAGGTCCGTGGTCCCATAGGGGACAATGGGATCGACGCGGTGGTGGCGCCACCAGGGAGGTGACAATCGCCCTGCAAGGTCACGGCCCCATAAAGGGACAGTGGGGACAATGCAATGGCGCTGGGCTGGTGGCACCAGGGAGGGTGGCAGTCCCGGCCAGAGTGGTGTCCCCATGGGGGACAATGGGGACAGGCCATGGCGATGTCCCCGAGCCCAATGGCGCTGTCCCCAGCTGGGCTGGTGGCCCCAGGGACAGGGACAATGTCCTCCAGGTTGGTGTGCGCACAGAGGGGAGTTGGGACAGCCAGTGGCAATGTCCCTCTGTCCCCTCCCATGTCCCTCTGTCCCCCCTGTGTCCCCTCTGCGTCCCTCCGTGTCCCTCTGTCCCCCCTGTGTCCCCTCCCGTGTCCCCCTGTCCCCCCCTGTGTCCCTCTGTCCCCTCCCATGTCCCTCTGTCCCCTCCATGTCCCCTCCCATGTCCCTCTGTCCCCTCCATGTCCCCTCCCGTGTCCCTCTGTCCCTCCCGTGTCCCCCTGTCCCTCCCATGTCCCCTCCCGTGTCCCTCTGTCCCTCCCATGTCCCTCCCATGTCCCTCTGTCCCCCCGTGTCCCCTCTGTGTCCCTCTGTCCCCTCCGTGTCCCTCTGTCCCCTCCCGTGTCCCCCTGTCCCCTCCCGTGTCCCTCTGTCCCTCCCATGTCCCTCTGTCCCCCCGTGTCCCCTCCCGTGTCCCTCTGTCCCCCCCTGTGTCCCTCTGTCCCCTCCAGGTCGCCTCCCGTGTCCCTCTGTCCCTCCCATGTCCCTCTGTCCCCCCTCTGTCCCTCCCATGTCCCTCTGTCCCCCCTCTGTCCCCCCTCTGTCCCCCCTCTGTCCCTCTGTCCCCTCCATGTTCCCTCCCGTGTCCCCCTGTCCCGCCCGTGTCCGTCCCTTGCCGCCACACATGGGCGTGGCCTCTCCAATCCCCGCCCCCTCCCCAATCCGCGCGCTCCTCGTCGCCCCACTCCGCCCCTCCCCCTTTAGTCCCCGCCCCTCCTCGCCCATTGGCCGCGCCGAGGCCCCGCCCCTCCCGCCGCCGCCGAGGCCCCGCCCCCGCCATGCGCCATCTCCCGGCCGGGCCGCGCCGCCCTCGGGCCGCGGGTTCGAGTCCCGGCCCGGCCCCGCTGCCGCTGCCGGTACCGGAACCGGGGCCGGGCCGGTTCCGGGGGCTCCTCCCGCGGCCCCCGCGCGCGGCGCGGCCGCTGCTGCCGCTGCTGCTGCTGGCGGCGCTGGCGGCCGCCGCCCTCATCCTCGTGTCCTGGCCCGGCGGGGAGAGCGCGCCGGTGAGAGCGGAACCGGGGGCGGTAACGGGGGCGGTAACGGGGGCGATAACGGGGTGGGTAATGGGGGGACCGGGGGGGTAACGCGCGGTTACCGGGACACCCCCCCAGACTCTTCGGGACCCATCAAATCCACTCCGGGATCCCCAAAACTGCTCCAGGACCCCACAAATCCACTCCGGGACCCCCCAAATCCACTCCGGGACCCCCCAAATCCACTCCTGGACCCGCCAAATCCACTCCGGGATCCCCAAAACTGCTCCTGGACCCCCCAAATCCACTCCGGGACCCCCAAAACTGCTCCAGGACCCCCCAAATCCACTCCGGGAACCCCCAAAATCACCCCGAGATTCCCAAAACTGCTCCAGGACCCCACAAATCCACTCCGGGACCACCCAAATCCACTCCGGGATCCCGCAAATCCACTCCGGGACCCCCAGAACTGCTCCAGGACCCCCCAAAATTACTCCGGGAACCCCCAAAATCACCCCGAGACCCCCAGAACTGCTCCGGGACCCCCAAATCCACTCCGGGATCCCCAAATCCACTCCGGGACCCCCAAAACTGCTCCTGGACCCCCCAAATCCACTCCGGGATCCCCCAAATCCACTCCGGGATCCCCAAATCCACTCCGGGACCCCCCAAAACTGCTCCAGGAGACCCCAAAATCACTCCGGGACCCCCCAAAATCCTTCCGGGACCCCCCAAAACCCTTCCAAAAATCACTCAGGGACCCCCAATACTGCTCCAGGACCCCCCAAAATCCCTCCGGACCCTCCAGATCCCCCCAGGACCCTCCCAGACCCTCCCAGGACCCCCCCAGAACCCTTTGGGACCCCCCCAAAATCCCCAAATCCCCTCCCAGGACCCCCCAAAATCCCCAAATCCCCCCCAGGACCCCCCGAAATCCCCCCGGGACCCCTCGGACCGCGCCCTCCGGACCCTCCTGGCCCAGCTGGACCCCGCCCGGCTCTGGGGGTCCCTCCTGAGGCCCCTCCTGCACGAGAGGGTCCCGGGGGGGCCCGGCAGCCGCCACGCGCGACAGGTGAGACCCCCCCAAAACCGCCCTGGGACCCCCCGAAAACAGCCCCGGGACCCCCAAAACTGCCCCGGGACCCCCAAAATCCACTCTGAGACCCCCAAAACTGCCCCGGGACCCCCAAATCCACACTGAGAGCCCCAAAACCGCCCCGGGACCCCCCAAATACACACAGGGGTAAATCCACACTGAGACCCCCCCCAAAACCCCCCTGGGACCCCCTGAAACAGCCCCGGGACCCCCCAAATCCACACTGAGAGCCTCAAAACAGCCCCGGGACCCCCAAAACCGCCCTGGGACCCCCAAATCCACTCTGAGAGCCCCGAAACCGCCCCGGGACCCCCGAAACCACCCCGGGACCCCCAAAACAGCCCCGGGACCCCCCGAAATAGCCCTGAGAGCCCCGAAACCGCCCTGGGACCCCCCAAAACCACCCCAGGACCCCCCAAAACTGCCCCGGGACCCCCAAATCCACCCTGGGACCCCCAGAACCGCCCCGGGACCCCCCAAATCTACACTGAGACCCCCCCAAAATCCACTCTGAGAGCCCCGAAACCGCCCCGGGACCCCCCAATCCCCCCTGGGACCCCCCAAATCTGCCCCAGAGACCCCCAAATCCACACAGAGTCCCCCAAATCCCCCCCTTCAATCCCCCCCAAATCTCCCCAAATTTCCCCAAGTCCCCTCAAATCCCTTTCAGACCCGCCCCCAAATCCCCCCCAAAATCCCCTCAAATCCCTTCCAGACCCCCCCAAATTCCCCCAAATCTCCCCAAACGCCTCCAAATTTCCCCCAAATCCCCCCCCCAGCACATCCTGTCCCACCTGTCCCCACCTGTCCCTCACCTGTCCCACCTGTCCCCACCTGTCCCCACCTGTGCCCACCTGTCCCCACTTGTCCCTCACCTGTCCCTCACCTGTCCCACCTGTCCCCATCTGTCCCCACCTGTCCCTCACCTGTCCCCACCTGTCCCTCACCTGTCCCCAGCACATCCTGTCCCCACCTGTCCCACCTGTCCCCACCTGTCCCCACCTGTCCCCCACCTGTCCCCACCTGTCCCTCACCTGTCCCCAGCACATCCTGTCCCACCTGTGCCCTCACCTGTCCCCACCTCTGCCCACCTGTCCCACCTGTCCCCACCTGCCTCACCTGTCCCCACCTGTCCCCACCTTTCCCACCTGTCCCACCTGTCTCCACCTGTCCCACCTGTCCCTCACCTGTCCCCAGCACATCCTGTCCCACGTGTCCCCACCTGTCCCCACCTATCCCACCTGTCCCTCACCTGTCCTCACCTGTCCCTCACCTGTCCCCACCTGCCCCTCACCTGTCCCTCACCTGTCCCACCTGTCCCCACCTGTCCCCACCTGTCCTCACCTGTGCCCACCTGTGCCCACCTGTCCCACCTGTCCCCACCTATCCCACCTGTCCCCACCTGTCCCCACCTGTCCCACCTGTCCCTCACCTGTCCCACCTGTCCCTCACTTGTCCCACCTGTCCCATCTGTCCCCACCTGTCCCTCACCTGTCCCCACCTGTCCTCACCTATCCCACCTGTCCCCACCTTTCCCACCTGTCCCACCTGTCCCCACCTGTCCCTCACCTGTCCTCACCTGTCCCTCACCTGTCCCCACCTGTCCCCACCTGTCCCCACCTGTCCCCACCTATCCCACCTGTCCCTCATCTGTCCCCACCTGTGCCCACCTGTGCCCACCTGTCCCCAGCACATCCTGTCTCACCTGCGCTCCCTCCGCGCCCGCTGGCACCTGGAGCTGGACACCTTTGTGGCGGCCACGCCCCGCGGGCAGGTGACCTTCAGCAGCGTGGTGGCCACGGCGGCTCCGGCGGCCGCGCGGCGCCTGGCCCTGGCCTGTCACTACGACACCAAGGTGCTCTCACCTGGGCCGGGCTCACCTGGGCATGGCTCACCTGGGCAGGGCGCACCTGGGCTGGGCGCACCTGGGCCGGGCTCACCTGGGCAGGGCTCACCTGAGCCCTTCGTGGGCGCCACCGACGCCGCCGTGCCCTGCGCGCTCCTGCTGGAGCTGGCGTCGGCCCTGGACGGGCACCTGAGCAGCAGGGAGGGACAGGTGAGCACACCTGGGGTGGGCGGGGCACCTGGGGGCAGGCGGGGCACCTGGGGGTGGGCGGGGCACCTGGGGATGGGCGGGGATACCTGGGGGTAGGCGGGGCACCTGGGGATGGGTGGGGACAGGGACAGGTGAGCACACCTGGGGGTGGGCGGGGCACCTGGGGGTGGGCGGGGCACCTGGGGACGGGTGGGGACGGGGACAGGTGGGGACACCTGGGGACGGGTGGGGACAGGTGAGCACACCTGGGGGCGGGCGGGGCACCTGGGGGCGGGTGGGGCACCTGGGGATGGGTGGGGACAGGGACAGGTGGGGACAGGTGAGCACACCTGGGGACAGGTGGGGACACCTGGGGATGGCTGGGGACAGGTGAGCACACCTGGGGACGGGCGGGGATACCTGGAGGTGGGCGGGGCACCTGGGGATGGGTGGGGACACGTGGGGATGGGTGGGGACAGGGACAGGTGGGGACAGGTGAGCACACCTGGGGGTGGGCGGGGCACCTGGGGATGGGTGGGGACACCTGGGGACGGGTGGGGACACGTGGGGATGGGTGGAGACACCTGGGGATGGGTGGGGACAGGTGAGCACACCTGGGGGTGGGCGGGGCACCTGGGGGTGGGTGGGGACACCTGGGGGTGTGTGGGGACAGGGACAGGTGAGGACAGGTGAGCACACCTGGGGACAGGTGGGGGCACCTGGGGATGGGTGGGGACAGGTGGGGACACCTGGGGACAGGTGGGTGTCACCTCAGAACACCTGGGTGTCACCTGGGGGTGCAGCAGGTGTGTGCCCCAGGTGTGCCCCCAGGTGTGCCCCAGGTGTGCCAGGCCAGGTGTGACTCAGGTGTGTCCCCAGGTGTGTCCCCAGGTGTGTCCCCAGGTGTGTCCCCAGGTGTGCCCAGGTGTCCCCAGGTGTGACTCAGGTGTGTCCCCAGGTGTGTCCCCAGGTGTGTGTGTCCCCAGGTGTGTCCCCAGGTGTGATGCAGGTGTGCCCCAGGTGTGCCCCAGGTGTGCCCCAGGTGTGATGCAGGTGTGTCCCCAGGTGTGCCAGGCCAGGTGTGCCCCAGGTGTGCCCCAGGTGTGTCCCAGGTGTGTGTGCCCCAGGTGTGCCAGGCCAGGTGTGACTCAGGTGTGTCCCCAGGTGTCCCCAGGTGTGTCCCCAGGTGTGCCCCAGGTGTGACTCAGGTGTGCCCCAGGTGTGTCTGTCCCCAGGTGTGCCCAGGTGTGTCCCCAGGTGTGACTCAGGTGTGTCCCCAGGACCCGCCCGTGACGCTGCAGTTGCTGTTCCTGGACGGGGAGGAGGCGTTCGGCACCTGGAGCGAGAGCGACTCCCTGTACGGGGCGCGGCACCTGGCGGGGACAATGGCGGCCAGGGGTCACCCCGCGGGGTCAGAGGTCACCGCCATGGTCAGTGCCGGGGTCAGGGGGCACGGGGACACACCTGGGGACACACCTGGGGACACACCTGGGGACACTCCCTGTACGGGGCGCGGCACCTGGCGGGGACAATGGCGGCCAGGGGCCACCCCGCGGGGTCAGAGGTCACCGCCATGGTCAGTGCCGGGGTCAGGGGGACACACAGGGGACACACCTGGGACACAGGGACACACCTGGGGACACACCTGGGGACACACCTGGGGACAGGGACACAGGGACACACCTGGGGACACACCTGGGGACACACCTGGGGACACCTGGGGACACACCTGGGACACAGGGACACACCTGGGACACACCTGGGGACTCACCTGGGGACACAGGGACACATCTGGGGACACACAGGGACACAGGGACACACCTGGGGACACACCTGGGGACACACAGGGACACACCTGGGGACACACCTGGGGACAGGGACACAGGGACACACAGGGACAGGGACACACCTGGGGACACACCTGGGGACTCACCTGGGGACACACCTGGGCACAGGGACACAGGGACACAGGGACTCACCTGGGGACACACCTGGGGACACACAGGGACACACCTGGGGACAGTCCCTGTACGGGGCGCGGCACCTGGCGGGGACAATGGCGGCCAGGGGCCACCCCGCGGGGTCAGAGGTCACCGCCATGGTCAGTGCCGGGGTCAGGGGACGCTGTCCCTATGCCCACGTCCGTGTCCCCGTGTGTCCCTGTGTCCCTGTGTCCGTCCCTGTGTCCATCCCTGTGTCCCTGTGTCCGTCCCTGTGTCCGTCCCTGTGTCCCTGTGTCCCCACGGTGTCCCCATGCTGTCCCCGTGCTGTCCCCATGGTGTCCCCTGCGTGTCCCTGTGTCCATCCCTGTGTCCCCGTGCTGTCCCCATGGTGTCCCTGTGTCCAGCCCTGTGTCCCCATGCTGTCCCCATGCTGTCCCCATGTCCCATCTGTGTCCCTGTCCCCTGTGTGTCCCCTGTGTGCATTCCTGTGTCTCTGTCCCCACGGTGTCCCCTGTATCCATCCCTGTGTCCCACGGTGTCCCCACGGTGTCCCCACGGTGTCCCCATGTCCCGTCTGTGTCCCTGTCCCCGTGCTGTCCCCTGTGTCCCACGGTGTCCCCACGGTGTCCCCTGTGTGTCCCCATGCTGTCCCCTGTGTCCCCATGGTGTCCCCACGCTGTCCCCAGAGCCTGCTGGTGCTGCTGGACCTGCTGGGCGCCCCCAGCCCTGTCCCCGTGCTGTCCCCTGTGTGTCCCCTGTGCTGTCCCCATGGTGTCCCTGTCCCCATGGTGTCCCTGTCCCCATGGTGTCCCCACGCTGTCCCCAGAGCCTGCTGGTGCTGCTGGACCTGCTGGGCGCCCCCAGCCCCGCCATCCACAGCCACTTCCCCCAGAGCCACCGCTGGTTCCTGCGCCTGCACGGCATCGGTGAGGGGACACTGGGGACACTGGGGGGGACATTGGGGGGAGTGGGGACATTGGGGGGACATTGGGGGCAATGGGGACACTGGGGGCACTGGGGGCAATGGGGACATTGGGGACATTGGGGACACTGGGGGCATTGGGGGCAATGGGGGGATTGGGGACATTGGGGGGACATTGGGGACACTGGGGGACATTGGGGGCAATGGGGACACTGGGGGACACTGGGGACACTGGGGACATTGGGGGGACATTGGGGGAACACTGGGGGACATTGGGGGGGGCATTGGGGACACTGGGGACACTGAGGGCAATGGGGACAGGGCAGGGACAGGGAGGGGACACAGTGGAGGGGTGGGGACAATGGGAAAGGGTGGGGACGGGAACAGTGACATGGGATGGCCCCGATGTCCCTGTGATGTCCCCAATGTCCCCCTGATGTCCCCAATGGCCCCCAATGTCCCCCCATTGTCCCCAATCCCCCCAATGTCCCCTTGGTGCCCCCAGTGTCCCCGCATTGTCCCCGATGCCCCCAATGCCCCCAATGTCCCCAATGTCCCCTTGGTGCCCCCAATGTCCCCCCAATGTCCCTGTAATGTCCCCAATGTCCCCAGTGTCCCCCAATGCCCCCAGTGTCCCCAATCCCCCCAATGTCCCCCCATTGCCCCCATTGTCCCCAATGTCCCCAATCCCCCAATGTCCCCCGCATTGTCCCCAATGTCCCCCCAATCCCCCCAGTCCCCAATCCCCCAATCCCCTGTTGTCCCCAGTGTCCCCAACGTCCCCAATGTCCCCAATGTCCCCCCAACGCCCCCAATGCCCCCAATGTCCCCCAATGTCCCCAATGTCCCCAATGTGTCCCCTCAGAGCAGCGTTTGCGCCGCCTGGGGCTCCTGCAGTCGCCGCCGCCGCCGTTTTTCCGCCTGGCGCCGGCCCCGGGCCCCGTCGAGGACGACCACGTTCCCTTCCTGCGGCGAGGTGACGTCCCCGAGTGTCCCCAAGTGTCACCCGGTGTCACCGAGTGTCCCCAAGTGTCACCCGGTGTCACCTCCCTGTCCCCCGGGCTCCTCCGTGTGCCCCGGGGGCCCCAAATGTCCCTCAGTGTCCCCCAATGTCCCCCCAATGTCCCCAATGTGTCCCCCATGTCCCCCAATTCCCCCCTGATGTCCCCCAGTGTCCCCAGGTGTCCCAAATGTCCCCCAGGTGTCCCCAATGTCCCCAGGTGTCCCCATTGTCCCCAGGCGTTCCCAATGTCCCCAATGTCCCCCATATGTCCCCCAGGTGCCCCAAATGTCCCCAATGTCCCCATTGTCCCTCAGTGTCCCCAATGTGTCCCCAATGTCCCCAATCCCCCCATTGTCCCCAATCCCCCCGATGTCCCCAATGTGTCCCCATTGTCCCCATTGTCCCCAATGTCCCCATTGTCCCCAATGTCCCCAATGTCCCCCATTGTCCCCAATGTCCCCATTGTCCCCATTGTCCCCATTGTCCCCAATGTGTCCCCAATGTCCCCAATGTCCCCAATGTGTCCCCATTGTCCCCCATGTCCCCAATGTGTCCCCATTGTCCCCAGGTGTCCCCAATGTCCCAGGTGTCCCCATTGTCCCCATTGTCCCCAATGTGTCCCCATTGTCCCCAGTGTCCCCAATGTGTCCCCAATGTCCCCATTGTCCCCAATGTCCCCATTGTCCCCAATGTCCCCCCATTGTCCCCAGGTGTCCCCAATGTCCCCCCATTGTCCCCAGGTGTCCCCAATGTCCCCAATGTCCCCCATATGTCCCCCAGGTGCCCCAAATGTCCCCCAATGTCCCCCCAATGTCCCAATGTCCCCATTGTCCCCAATCCCCCCAATGTCCCCAATGTCCCCATTGTCCCCAGTGTCCCCAATGTCCCCCCAATCCCCCCATTGTCCCCAGGTGTCCCCAATGTGTCCCCAATGTCCCCAATGTGTCCCCATTGTCCCCAATGTCCCCAATGTCCCCATTGTCCCCAATGTGTCCCCATTGTCCCCAATGTGTCCCCATTGTCCCCAATGTCCCCAATGTCCCCAATGTCCCCATTGTCCCCAATGTCCCAATGTCCCCATTGTCCCCAATGTCCCCAATCCCCCCAATGTCCCCATTGTCCCCAATGTCCCCAATCCCCCCAATGTGTCCCCATTGTCCCCAATGTCCCCATTGTCCCCAATGTGTCCCATTGTCCCCAATGTGTCCCCAATGTGTCCCCAGGTGTGCCGGTGCTCCACGTGATCCCGACGCCGTTCCCGCGGGTCTGGCACACCCTTGGGGACACCGAGGACAATCTGCACCCCCCGACCGTGCACGACCTGGCCAAGGTCCTGCTGCTCTTCGTGGCCGAGTTCCTGCAGCTCTGACCCCGAAAAAACCCCAAAAACGCGAAAAAGAACCGCCCGAAAATGTAAAATTTAAAAAAAAATACAAAAAACCCAAAAAAAACGAAAAAAAACCCCCAAAAAAACCCCCAAAAACCCCCAGACCTGGCCAAGGTCCTGCTGCTCTTCGTGGCCGAGTTCCTGCAGCTCTGACCCCGAAAAAACCCCGAAAACGCGAAAAAAAAACAACCCCAAAATGCAAAATTTCAAAAAAATACAAAAAACCCCATAAAACCGAAAAAAAAACCACAAAAAAAACCACAAAAAAAACCCCGGACCTGGCCAAGGTCCTGCTGCTCTTCGTGGCCGAGTTCCTGCAGCTCTGACCCCCAAAAATCCCCAAAAACGCGAAAAAAAAACAACCCCAAAAATGCAAAATTTCAAAAAAACCACAAAAAACCACAAAAAAAACCACAAAAAAACCCCAAAAAACCCAAAAAACCACAAAAAAACCCCGGACCTGGCCAAGGTCCTGCTGCTCTTCGTGGCCGAGTTCCTGCAGCTCTGACCCCGAAAAAACCCCAAAAACACGAAAAAAAACAACCCCAAAATGTAAAATTTCAAAAAACCCACAAAAAAACCCAAAAACCCCCAAAAAACGAAAAAAAAAACCCAAAAAAACCACAAAAAAAACCCCTGGACCTGGCCAAGGTCCTGCTGCTCTTTGTGGCCAAGGTCCTGCAGCTCTGACCCCAAAAAATCCCCAAAAACGCAAAAAAAAAACAACCCGAAAATGCAAAATTCAAAAAAAACACAAAAAAAACCAAACAAAAAAAAAAAAACAAAAAAAACCCCCAAAAATTCAAAAAAACCCCCAAAAATAAAAAAAAAAAAAACAAAAAAACCCCAAACCCTCAAATACCCCAAAAAAACCCAAATAAACACAAACAAAAAAATTCCAAAACCACCAAATTTGCCTTTTATTGCCGGGATTTGGGGGCGCAGCTGAGGTCACACCTGAGGGGGAAGAGAGCGGTGAAAGGGGGGGGTCCCGGGGGGGGATTTGGGGGATTTTTGGGGTCCTGGGGAGGATTTTGGGGTTTCTGAGGGGAATTTTGGGGTCCTGGGCGTGATTTTGGGGTTTCTGGGGGGAATTTGGGGTCTTAGGGGAAGATTTTGGGGTCCTGGGGTGGGATTTTGGGGTTTCTGGGGGGATTTTGGGGTTTCTGGGGTTATTTTGGGGTTTCTGGGGGGATTTTGGGGGGTCCCGGGGGTTATTTTGGGGTCCTGGGTGGGATTTTGGGGTTTCTGGGTGGGGATTTTGGGGTCCCGGGTGGGGATTTTGGGGTCCCGGGTGGGATTTTGGGGTCCCGGGTGGGGATTTTGGGGTCCTGGGGTTATTTTGGGGTCCTGGGGTTATTTTGGGGTTTCTGGGTGGGGATTTTGGGTTTCTGGGGGTGATTTTGGGGTCCGGGGGTCTCACCCTGGTGGCCGAGGGTCTCTGTGGCCGCCGCTCCGGCCCCGGGGGGCTCAGCCCGGGGGTCCCCCCTGCGTCCGCCGGGGTCCTGGGGCCAAAACCCCACAGTGAGACCCCCCCAAAAATCCCCCAAATGGGACCCCCCAAAAATCCCCCAAATCCAACCTGGGACCCCCCCAAAATCCCCCAAATCCAACCTGGGACCCCCCAAAATCCCCCAAATCCAACCTGGGACCCCCCAAAAATTCCCCAAATCCAACCTGGGACCCCCCCAGAAAGCCCCAAATCCAACCTGGGACCCCCCAAAACCCCCAAAATCCCCTTGGGACTCTCAGAGACCCCCCAAAAATTCCCCAAGTGGAACCTGGGACCCCCCAAAAATTCCCCAAATGGGACCCATCGGGACCCCCCAGGAACCCCCAAATCCTCTTGGAACTCACTGAGAGACCCTAAAATCCCCCAAAACTGCCCCAAAACCCTGAACCCCAAACTGCCCCAAAACCCCCTAAAATCACCCCAAACTCCTTAAAACCTCCAAAACTGCCTGAAACCCCCCAAATTACCCCAAACCCCTTAAAACCCCCGAAACTGCCCCAAACCCCCCCAAAACCACCCCGAACCCCCCTAAAATCACCCCAAACCCCCCCAAACTGCCCTAAACCCCCCTAAAATCACCCCAACCCTCTCCCCAAATCACCCCAAAGTTCCCCAAAGCCCCCCAAAGTCACCCCAAACTGCCCCAAACCCCCCCAAAATCACCCCAAACCCCCCCGAACCCCCCCAAATCACCCCAAACCCCCCCAAAACCCCCCCCAATTCACCCCAAACCCCCCCAATTCACCCCAAACCCCCCCAAACTCACCCCAAACCCCACCCAAACCCCCCCAAATCGCCCCAAACCCCCCCAAACCACCCCAAAACCCCCCCAAATCACCCCAAACCCCTCCCACGCCCCTCACCCGCTGCCCCGCCGCCTCCTGGCCACGGCCAGCCCCACGCCGGGCGCGAGCAGCAGCAGCGGGAGCGCGCACAGCGCCAGCGGCGCCGCGCCCCGGGGCCGCCCCGCGCCCGCTCCGGGGGCGGGGCCAGGCGGAGGGGGCGGGGCCGCCGCCCCCGGCGCGCGCTCCTGGCAGCGCTCGCCCATGAAGCCGCGCGCGCATGCGCAGACGGGGCCCGAGAAGTGCGTGAAGCACGTGCCCGCCGTGCGCGCAGGGGTTGGGCGCGCAGGCGCCGTGGCGGCGGCGGCAGCGCGGGCCCGCGAAGCCCAGCGTGCAGGTGCAGGTGAAGGCGTTGGCGCCGTCCTGGCAGGTGCCGCCGTGCGCGCACGGGTTCGGGCTGCAGTCGTCCGCGTTGTGCTGGCAGCGGCGGCCCGAGAAGCCCGGAGGGCAGCGGCACAGCGGGGCCAGGCCCTGCGCGTCCCGGCACAGGCCGCCTGAGGGGGGGGAGAGGGGGAAAATGGGGGAAAAAATGGGGAAAATATATGAGAAAAATGGGGGGAAAAATGGGGAAAATGGGGAAAATATATATGAGAAAAATGGGGGGGAAAATGGGGAAAATATATGAGAAAAATTAGGGGGGAAAAATTAAAAAAAATGGGGAAAATATATGAGAAAAAATGAGGGAAAAAAAAGAGAAAAATTGGGGGGAAAAATGGGGATAAAATGGGGGGAGATATATGAGAAAAATAGGGGGAAAAATAAAGAGAAAAATAGAGGTGAAAATGAGAAAAATGGGGGGAAAAAGAAGAGAAAAATAGAGGTGAAAATGAGAAAAATAAAAAAAAAAAAAAGAGAAAAATGGGGAAAAAAGGGAGAAAAATTGGGGGAAAAATTAAAAAAATGGGGAGGGAAAATGAGGAAAATGGGGGGGAAATAATGAGAAAAATGGGGAGGGAAAATGAGGAAAATGGGGGGGAAATAATGAGAAAATGGGGGGAAAATGGGGGGGGAAATGGGGGGAAAAAAAGAGAAAAATGGGGGATAAAAATGAGAATAATGGGGGGTGAAAATGAGAAAAATGGGGGGGGGGAAATATGAGAAAAATTGGGGGGAAAATGAGAAAAATGGGGGGGGAAATGAGGAAAATGGAGGGGAAAATATGAGAAAAATTGGGGGAAAAAAAGAGAAAAATGGGGGGGGAAAAATGAGAAAAATGGGGGGGAAGAATGAGGAAAATGGGGGGGAAATAAAGGAGAAATGGGGGGAAAAAATAATGAGAAAAATGGTGGAAGAATGGGGGGGGGGAAATGAGGAAAATGGGGGAAAATTAAAAAAATTGGGAAAATATATGAGAAAAAATGGGGGAAATGAGGAAAATGGGAAAATATATGAGAAAAAAATGGGGGGGGAAAAATTTAAAAAATGGGGGGGAAAAATGGGGGAAAAAAAAGAGGTGAAAGGGAGGAGAGGAAGAGGGGTCGGGGATCAATCTCGGGTTTCCGGGGAGGTTTTTTTGGGTGTTTTGTTTGTTTGTTTGTTTTTTGGGGTGTTTTGGGATTTTTGGGGGATTTTTTGGGGGGTTTTTTTTAAGTCTCTCGCCATCCAAACAGTAGTGGGGATTTTTGGGGGGATATTTTGGGCCGTTTTTTAGGCTGTTTTGGGGCCGTTTCTCACCATTCAGGCAGTAGCTGGGCTCGCAGCGATCCGCCCGGCAGTTTTAGGGGGTGTTTTTGGGGTATTTTTGGGTGTTTTTGGGGTGTTTTTGGCCCATTTTGGGGCCATTTCTCACCGTTCAGGCGAGTAGCGGGGTTTAGGGGGTGTTTTTGGGGGTTTTTGGGGTAATTTTGGGTGTTTTTTGGGGTGTTTTTGGGCCATTTTTGGGGCCGTTTCTCACCATTGAGGCAGTAGCTGGGCTTGCACCGACCCGCCCGGCAGTTTTAGGGGGTGTTTTTGGGGGTTTTTGGGGTAATTTTGGGTGTTTTTGGGGCCGTTTCTCACTGTTGAGGCAGTAGCGGGGTTTAGGGGGTGTTTTGGGGGGTTTTTGGGGTATTTTTAGCCCATTTTTGGCCCATTTCTCACCATTCAGGCAGTAGCTGGGCTCGCAGCGATCCGCCCGGCAGTTTTAGGGGGTGTTTTTGGGGTATTTTTGGGTATTTTTGGCCCATTTTGGGGCTGTTTCTCACCATTCAAGCAGTAGCTGGGCTCGCAGCGATCCGCCCGGCAGTTTTAGGGGCTGTTTTTGGGGTATTTTAGGGTATTTTTGGCCCATTTTGGGCTGTTTCTCACCATTCAAGCAGTAGCTGGGCTCGCAGCGATCCGCCCGGCAGTTTTAGGGGGTGTTTTTGGGGTAATTTTGGGGTAATTTTGGGTGTTTTTTGGGCCATTTCTCACCGTTCAAGCAGTAGCTGGGCTCGCAGCGATCCGCCCGGCAGTTTTAGGGGGTGTTTTTGGGGTAATTTTGGGTATTTTTGGGGCTGTTTCTCACCATTGAGGCAGTAGCTGGGCTCGCAGCGATCTGCCCAGCAGTTTTAGGGGGTGTTTTTGGGGTATTTTTGGCCCATTTTGGGGCCATTTCTCACCATTGAGGCAGTAGCTGGGCTCGCAGCGATCCGCCCGGCATTTTTAGGGGCTGTTTTTGGGGTAATTTGGGTGTTTTTGGGCCATTTCTCACCATTGAGGCAGTAGCTGGGCTCGCAGCGATCCGCCCGGCAGTTTTAGGGGGTGTTTTTGGGGTATTTTAGGGTGTTTTTGGGTATTTTTAGCCCATTTTTGGCCCATTTCTCACCATTCAAGCAGTAGCTGGGCTCGCAGCGATCCGCCCGGCAGTTTTAGGGGGTGTTTTTGGGCCATTTTTGGGGTATTTTTAGCCCATTTTTGGCCCATTTCTCACCGTTCAAGCAGTAGCTGGGCTCGCAGCGATCCGCCCGGCGCTCGCAGTTGGAGCCCCGGAACCCGGGCGGGCACCGGCAGCTGTACCCGGGGGCGCTCCCGGGGGCGGTCCCGGGGTCGGGGGCGCAGGCGCCGCCGTTGAAGCAGGGCCCGAGGGCGCAGGGGGAGGGCGGCACCTCCGGCAGCGGGAACGGGACCCCCGGGACCACCGGGACCACCGGGACCACCGGGAGGGGCTCCGGGACCACCGGGAGGGCATCGGGGACCCCCGGGACCCCCACAAGGGGCTCCGGGACCCTCGGGAGGGGCTTCGGGACCACCGGGAGGGGCTCCGGACCACCGGGACGGCACCAGGGACCCCCGGGAGGGGCTTCGGGACCACCGGGAGGGGCTCTGGGACCCCCACGAGGGGCTCTGGGACGGCACCAGGGACCCTCGGGACCACCGGGACATGGGCTGGGACCACTGGAGGGCATTGGGGACCCCGGGATGGCACCGGGGACCCCCGGGATCCCCGGGAGAGTGGCTGGGACCACCGGGAGGGGCTCTGGGACCCTCGGGACCCCTGGGAGGGGCTTCGGGACCACCGGGATATGGGCTGGGACCCCCATGAGGGGCTCTGGGATGGCACCAGGGACCCCCGGGACCCCCGGGAGATGCTCTGGGACCACCGGGAGATGCTCTGGGACCCCCGGGACCCCCGGGATGGCATTGGGGACCACTGGGAGATGCTCTGGGACCCTCAGGAGGGGCTCTGGGACCCCAGGGACCCCCGGGATGGCATCGGAGACCCCCGGGAGGGGCTCCGGGGGCTTTCGGGATACCCAGGAGAGGCTCCGGGACCCCCGGGAGGGGCTCTGGGACCCCCGGGACCCCCGGGAGGGGCTCCGGGACCCCCGGGAGGGGCTCGGGCGGGGCCGGAGCTCCGGGGGTCGCCGCCGGTGCCGCCGCCGGTGCCGCCGGGATCTCGCAGCCGCTGCCGGGGCCCTGCGGGGACAGCGCCGTTACCGGGGCCGGGGGCACGGGGGGGGTCCCGGTTTTGGGGGGGGGAGGGGGGGGGTCCGCACTCACCGCGCAGGCGCCGCAGGGGCTGGGGGGGGCGCAGGGACCCCCCCGACACCGCCCTGAGGGGATAAAGGGGGGGGGTCGGGTCATTTTTGGGGTTTTTCGGGTATTTTTTGGGGGGGTTTGGGTTATATTTTGGGCGGGTTTTGGGTTATTTTTTTGGGGGTTTTTCGGGTGATTTTTTGGGGGTGTTTCGGGTCATTTTTGGGGGGGGTTTCGGGTCATTTTTGGGGGGGGGTTTCGGGTCATTTTTTGGGGAGGTTTCGGGTTATTTTTTGGGGGAGTTTCGGGTCATTTTTTTGGGGGTGTTTCGGGTCATTTTTGGGTGGATTTCGGGCCATTTTTTGGGGGGGTTTCGGGTCATTTTTTGGGGGTTTTCGGGTCATTTTTTGGGGGGTTTCGGGTCATTTTTTTGGGGGGTTTCGGGTCATTCTTGGGGGGTTTCGGGTCATTTTTTTGGGGGGTTTTTCGGGTCATTTTTGGGGGGGTTTCGGGTCATTTTTTTGGGGGGTTTCGGGTCATTTTTGGGGGGTTTCGGGTTATTTTTGGGGGGATTTCGGGTCATTTTTGGGGGCGTTTCCAGTCATTTTGGGGGGTTTCGGGTCATTTTTTGGGGGGGTTTCGGGTTATATTTGGGGGGGTTTCGGGTCATTTTTGGGGGGGTTCGGGTTATTTTTTGGGGGGGTTTTGGGTCATTTTTTTGGGGGTTTTTCGGGTCATTTTTGGGGGGTTCGGGTTATTTTTTGGGGGGGTTTCGGGTCATTTTTTGGGGGTTTTTCGGGTCATTTTTGGGGGGGTTTCTCGGTCATTTTGGGGGGGTTTGGGGTCATTTTTTGGGGGTGTTTCGGGTCATTTTTGGGGCGGTTTCGGGTCATTTTTTGGTGGGTTTCGGGTCATTTTTTGGGGGTTTTTCGGGTCATTTTTTGGGGGGTTTCATGTTATTTTTAGGGGTTTTTCGGTCATTTTTTGGGGGGGGTTTCGGGTCATTTTTGGGGGGGGGTTCATGTTATTTTTTTGGGGATTTTTCGTGTCATATTTGGGGTGGTTTCGGGTCATTTTTGGGGGTGTTTCGGGTCATTTTTTGGGGTTTTTCGGGTTATTTTTTGGGGGTGTTTCGGGTCATTTTTGGGGGTGTTTCGGGTCATTTTTGGGTGGATTTCGGGCCGTTTTTTGGGGAGGGGTGGGGGGGTCACTCACGGGGGTCCCTCCAGCAGCCGCGGGGGGGGGCGCAGCCGCGGGGGGCGGGGCGGGGGTGGGGGGAGGGGCAGCGCAGGCGCGCCCCGAAGCGCAGCCCCCCCCCCGCCCCCCCCCGCCAGGGCCCCCCCGGGCTCAGGCGCGGCCTCGACACCGCCCGGGCCACGAGGCGCAGGGGGGGCCCTGGAACGGGGGAAAAAAGGGGGGAAAAGGGGGGAAAATGGGGGAAAAGGGGCGGGGTCAGAGCGGCCGGGACCCCCCCGGACCCCCCGAGACCCCCCCGGGACCCCCAGGCCCAAATTTACCCCAAAACCCCCCCAAAATCTCCGTTTGTTCACCCCAAAACCCCCCAAAATCTCCGTTTGTTCCCCGCCCCAAAACCCCCGGGTTTGTCCCCAAATTTCCTTCCCCGACCCAAAATTTTCCTCCCAAACTCCAAATTTTCCCCCCGAGATCCTCCCAGAACCCCCCGGGACCCCCAGACCCAATTTAACCCCGCCAAGTCCAAACCTCCCCCAAAATCTCCGTTTGTTCCCCGCCCAAAACCCCCGGGTTTGTCCCCAAATTTCCTTTCCCGACCCAAAATTTCCCCCCCAAGACCCCGAAATTTCCACCCCAAACCCCAAAATTTCCACCCCCAACCCCAAAATTTCCACCCCAAACCCCAAAATTCCCCCTCCAAACTTCAAATTTACCCCCCGAGACCCCAAATTTTCCCCCCCACGATCCCCAGAATCCCCTTGAGACTCCCGAATTCCCCCCAAACCCCGAATTTCCTCCCCAAGACCCCCAAAATCTGCCCCAAATCCAAATTTCCCCCTCAAAACCCCAAATTTCCCCTCCAAGACCCCAAACTTCCCTCCAAGACCCCAAATTTCCCTTCCAAGACCCCAAATTTCCCTTCCAAGACCCCAAACTTCCCTTCCAAGACCCCAAACTTTCCCCCAAGACCCCAAATTTCCCTTCCAAGACCCCAAATTTCCCACTAAGACCCCAAATTTCGCCTCCAAGACCCCAAATTTCCCCTTCCCCAAGACCCCGAAATTTCCACCCCAAACCTCAAAATTCCCCCCAACCCCAAATTTCCCTTCCAAGACCCCAAAATTTCCACCCCAAACCCCAAATTTTCCCCCCAAGACCCAAATTTCGCCTCCAAGACCCCAAATTTCGCCTCCAGGACCCCAAATTTCCCTTCCGAGACCCCCAAATCCCCTCCAAGCCCCCCCTCACCGGGGGCTCCGCTCTCCTCCAGCCGCCAGGACTCGACCACGAGCGAGACGCTGCCCTGGGGGGGGGGGCGAGAATTTGGGGAGGGGTCTCGCATTTTGGGAAGGGGTCTCATCATATTCTGGGGAGGGGTCCGGGATTTTGGGGCGGGGTCTCCCATTTTGGGGGGGCGTCTGGAATTTTGGGGAGGGGTCTCCCATTAGAGGGGGGCTCTAGAATTTTTGGGGAGGGGTCTCCCATTTTGGGGAGGGGTCTCTCATTTGGGGAGGGCCCCGCCTTTTGGGAGGGGTCCCGGATTTGGGGCGGGGTCTCCCATTTTGGGGCGGGGTCTTCCCCATTTCGGGGCGGGGTCTCCCCCATTTCGGGGCGGGCTCTCCCCCATTTCGGGGCGGGGTTTCCCCATTTCAGGGCGGGCTCTCCCCCGTTTGGGGCGGGGTCTCTCCATTTCGGGGCGGGGTTTCCCCATTTCGGGGCGGGGTTTCCCCCATTTGGGGCGGGGTCTCCCCCATTTCAGGGCGGGGTCTCCCCCATTTGGGGCGGGGTTTCCCCCAATTTGGGGCGGGGTTTCCCCAATTTGGGGCGGGGTCTCACCGGCCAGGGGAAGGCCAGCGGCAGCCGCAGCATCCGGGGGGCTCCGGGCGCGGGGGGGGGCCCGGGGGGGCTCTGCGCGACCCCCAGGCCGCAGCCCCGCCCCCCGGGGGGGCGCAGGCACAGCCGGAACTGGAGGCGGCACGAGGGGGGGGGCGGGGCCCCGCAGGGACCCCCGGGACCCCCCCGCGCCGAGAGCACGCGCAGCTCCAGGACCCCCGAGGGGCGGCCCTGGAAACCCCGAAATTAAACCCGAAATTAGCCAAAAATCACCCCAAAATAACCCCCGAAATTACACCAAAATTAACCCAAAATCACCCCCGAAATTAACGCAAAATTAACCCGAAATTACACCAAAATTAACCCGAAATTACACCCGAAATTACCCCGAAATCAACTCGAAATCAACCCAAAATGACACCCGAAATCAACACAAAATTAACCCGAAATTAACCCAAAATTAACCCGAAATAACCCCGAAATCAACCCGAAATTACACCAAAATTACACCAAAATCACCCCAAAATTAACCCGAAATTAACCCGAAATTAACCCGAAATTATCCTAAAATTACCCCAAAATCACCCCCGAAATTAACCCGAAATTAGCCAAAAATCACCCCGAAATCAACCCAAAATTAACCCGAAATTACACCAAAATAACCCCAAAATTAACCCGAAATTACCCCCGAAATTGCACCAAAATCACCCCGAAATTACCCCAAAATTACCCCGAATTTAACCTAAAATCAACCCGAAATTACCCCAAAATTAGCCAAAAATCACCCCCGAAATTACCCCAAAATGAACCCGAAATTACACCAAAATTAACCCAAAATCAACCCGAAATTAACCCAAACTCACCCCAAAAATCACCCCCGAAATTACCCCAAATTCACCCCGAAATTACCCCAAAATCAGCCCCGAAATTAACCCAAAATTACCCAAAAATCACCCCCGAAATCAACCCGAAATTACCCCAAAATTAACCCGAAATTACACCAAAATTAACCCAAAATCACCCCCGAAATTAACCCAAAATTAACCGAAAATTAACCCGAAATCACCCCCGAAATTACACCAAAATTAACCCGAAATTAGCCCAAAATCACCCCAAAATCAACCCGAAATTACACCAAAATCAACCCAAAATTACCCCGAAATTAACCCAAAATCACCCCCAAAATTACCCCAAAATTGCCCAAAAGAGCCCCGAAATTACCCCAAAACCCCCCAAATTACACCAAAATTACACCCAGGACCCCCAAAATTACCACAAAGAGCCCCAAATTTACCCAAAGAGACCCAAAATCCCCCCGAGACCCCAAAATCCCCCCCCAGAAACCCCAAATCCCCCCCAGAACCCGAAAATTGCTCCCAGATCCCCAAAATCCCCTCAGAAACCCCAAAATTACCCCAGAAAACCCCAAAATCCCCCCAAAAACCCCAAAATCTCCCCCCAAGTCCCCCAAAATCCCCCCAGGACCCCCAAAATTGCCCCAAGATCCCCAAAATCCCCCCAGAAACCCCAAAATCCCCCCAAGAAACCCCAAAATCCCCCCAAAACCCCCTAAATCACCCCCAGAAACCCCAAATTGCCCCAGGACCCCCCAAAATCCCCCCGGACCCCAAAATTGCCCCCAAAATCCCCCAAGACCCCCAAAATTGCCCCCAGAAACCCCCAAATCCCCCCAAAATCCCCCCCAAAATCGCCCCCAGAAACCCAAAATCCCCCCAGGACCCCCAAATCCCCCCCAAAATCGCCCCCAGAAACCCAAAATTGCCCCCCGGACCCCCAAAATCCCCCCAAAATCGCCCCCAAAATCCTCCCCAAGACCCCCCAAAATCCCCCCCAGGACCCCCAAAATCGCCCCAAAATCCCCCCCCGGCCCCCCCCAATTCCGCCCCCCCTCACCGGGGCGGGGCCGAGGAGGAGGAGGAGGAGGAGGAGGAAGGGCAGGAGGGGGAGGGGCGCCATGGGGTCCCGCCGGGGCCGGGGCTCGGCCGGGTCTGAGCCGCGCGCCGCCCCCAGACCCATTTGAATGGGGCAAGGCCCCGCCCACCGCCCCGCCCACCGCGGCTGAGCCACGCCCCCAACTCCAAAAAAGGAGATTCGGACCCAAAAAAGGAGATTGGGACCCAAAAAAGGGAGATTCAAACCCAAAAAAGGAGATTGGGACCCAAAAAAGGAGATTGGGATCTAAAAAAGGGAGATTCAGACCCAAAAACGGAGATTGGGACCCAAAAAAGGGAGATTGGGACCCAAAAAGGAGATTCAGACCCAAAAAAGGGAGATTCAAACCCAAAAAAGGGAGATTGGGACCCAAAAAAGGGAGATTGGACCCAAAAAAGGAGATTGGGACCTAAAAAAGGAGACTGGGACCCAAAAAAGGGAGATTCAGACCCAAAAAAGGAGATTTGGACCCAAAAAAGGGAGATTGGGACCCAAAAAAGGAGATTGGGACCCAAAAAAGGAGATTTGGACCTAAAAAAGGGAGATTTGGACCCAAAAAAGGAGATTTGGACCCAAAAAAGGGAGATTGGGACCCAAAAAAGGAGATTGGGACCTAAAAAAGGAGATTTGGACCCAAAAAAGGAGATTTGGACCCAAAAAAGGGAGATTGGGACCCAAAAAAGGAGATTGGGACCTAAAAAAGGAGATTGGGACCCAAAAAAGGGAGATTCAGACCCCAAAAAAGGAGATTGGGACCCAAAAAAGGGAGATTCAGACCCAAAAAAGGAGATTGGGACCCAAAAAAGGAGATTGGGATCTAAAAAAGGGAGATTCAGACCCAAAAAAGGGAGATTGGGACCCAAAAAAGGAGATTGGGACCCAAAAAAGGGAGATTGGGACCCAAAAAAGGAGATTCAGACCCAAAAAAGGAGATTGGGACCCAAAAAAGGAGATTGGGATCTAAAAAAGGGAGATTCAGACCCAAAAAAGGGAGATTGGGACCCAAAAAAGGAGATTGGGACCCAAAAAAGGGAGATTCGTCGGCCCCAAATCTGCCCCAAAAAGGGGGATTTGTCCCCAAAAAGCCGATTCAGCCCCAAAACCTCCCCAAAAAAGGAGATTCA